AGCCGATTTCATTATTAAAGATGCTTGCATCAATAACTATATTGTTTCCTGGATTTCCGGAGGTACGCACATGCGTTACGCCCGTACGCACGGAGTATCTCCGGAAATGCAGAAAAAAACGTATTTTTATTGACGAAAAGGGTCTTTAAATATTTAATCTGCTGGTTTGATAGTCTCTAGTCTCTCTTATTATGTCGAGGTTGGTAGTGAACTAACTAGCGGATGAAAATCACTCGTTTCTTGTCGCGCGCTTGAAGCGAACCAGAGAGGGTTGAAAAAGCGCACTAAACTTAAAGAAGACTTTTGACATTCAGTTTTTTTGTTCACTCAGGCTAAAGAGACTAGTCAAGCGCGGTACCACCAGTCACTGATTCACAGGCTCTGCTTTTTCCATTATTAAATTGACAAAACAAAATACAACGTTCACATAAATATTCCAAGACACACAGTCACTCAAACTTCCTTTTAGTAACGACAAAGAGTTGCAGATCTGCTGGTCTGTACGTTCATTTGGTATGATCTGGATCAGGATCGGTGATCCAAGATCACTCGGATCATGGCGCATCAGAGAAACCGATGAATCTGAATAGAATGGATTTACTGGTTCCTTCGATGCACTATGATCTGAGTGATCTTGGATCACTGATCCTGATCCAGATCGCCCCAAAGAAACGCGCACTTGAAATTTTGATTTTTTTTTTCATCCAAACCGTAACTATGGTTTCCCTTTTTCATGACAACAACTGACAACAGTAATTTTAGAACAACAATAACTTAAAGAACAAAAATGTCCACACCTGTGTTTATCAACTTAAAAGTAACATAAATATTGTTTTACACGCTGTAAATGGAAATATAACGAGTTATAACAGAAGCAAATTATACACTTCAGGTTATAATAAAAGAGCTATAGAGAGGGTATTACAGAAAGATCTTCCAATACGTAGACCAAACAATTTCACAGTCAAGTTCGCGTTAGCAATCGTCTAAATCTGCTTTTAAATTAATCTTAACCAGTCTTGTTACATTACTTGCGAAACTTTTTATCTCATTTGGTACAAATTTCGGACAACAATTTCGGACATTTTTCTGAAACATAGCTTACAAAGTGGCTGAAACATTAGGTGTGAAAATGATAGTTTTCCTGCAGTCTCAAGTTTTACGAATACACCGACGAGAAAATATCACAAATTCTACCAACCCGTTACGTATGTCAAGCAGTGTCTCAACTAGAGCAGAAATTCCGGCATAAAGGAAACTAAGAGCGTTGGAGGTACTTCAAAGTTTTATACTGTACTGAAAATATTTCGGACGCTTAAAAATTTCGGACGGTTTTATTTTTGGACACTTTTTATGTCCGAAATTAAAATCGTTCGAAATATTTTTGCAAGTGATGTATTCCTTTTTATAATCACTTTATCGTCACTCTTTTAGTGTTTTTCTCTCTTATAAACCCATTTGTTTTGACGCTCGGTTCCCTTTGATTATTTTGTACACCGAAAAAAGGCAAGAAATCACGACGTAGATTCCTGGTCTTGAATCACAATTGGGCGTTGCATCTTACGCAAAAACGAATCCATCGCTTTGTGGCAATACCTCCACAGCAGTTCTTTGTCTGATGGCGATGTTCGATAAATCTTGAACACGATTTCTTTGATTATTGCAATCCTGGCAGGATCTACTCTGTCTTTACCTCGGACTCCAGAAATGTTTCTTCCAATTAGCTCCTCTCGCGTGAACAATTCGCGCAACAGTCGCACGGCAAAATTCATCGTAGAAGTGGACTTGGCTTGCAAGGCAATGAGCTCATCGCGCGATATTGGCAAGTTTAGATCATCTGGCAAGGTTTGTTCAGTTATCTTGGCCATTTCAAGCCGAATGCGTTGACTGGCCGTCATTCCAGGGAGTGAATTTGAGAGAACAAATGATGACAGTGATGTAAGGGCTTTAAGTTGGCTTCCCATCGCGGTGTCTCCATCTCCCTGGTTTTTCAACGTGGTGCCATTCGAGCTGGTATTTGATTGGCTTTCCATCGTTGAGACACTCGACTGGACTGCTATCGCCGCAGTGTTAGACTGAGGTGCAAGCGCGTTGTTATTTGACGGGGTTGCTGTTGAGGTAACATTTGACTGATTAGTGCTCACAACATTTGTGTTTGTCTGGTTATTCATGGTTGCATTTCTCTGGGTTCCCCTCGTAGAGGAATTTAACTGGTTTCCTATAATGTCAGCATTCTGATGGATGTGATTGGCTGCCGCCGTGGAATATGACTGGTTTCCCATTGCTGTTACATTTGACTGGTTTCCAACTGTTGTGGCAGCTGATTGGCATCTTACTGTTGTGGCATTAGACTGGCTTCCTGCTGTTGTGGCATTTGATTGGTTTCCAATTTCGAGCCCAGTCATTCCAGTATTTGATTTAGATCCCATCATTGCCATAAGCTGATCAATCTTGTGCTCCATCCTCACTAACATGGGTAGTATCAGTCCCAGTTTGTCATCTTGAAGAGCACTAAGTAAGCTCATGGTGGAAGACTGGGAGGCTGTCAAAGAAGGCTGAACACCATGCTGCAGAGGAGTTTGCAGTGTGCTGTTTAACATTGGTGAAGGAAAGAAATTGGGAGGCACTGCAAATTGGACACTTGATGGATGTGAAGAACCCTCAATAGAACCATGATGTGAAAGGGAAGGTGCTGTTTGTGTAGGCTGAGGTACTGCATGTGCTGGCTGAGGAAATGTATGTGGAGGGTGAGGTACTGTATGTGCAGGCTGAGGTATTGAATGTGGAGGGTGAGGAACTGTTGGTGGTACAGTACGTGGAGTCTGAGTCATCATATTTGGAAGCAGCTGTACTGCATGCAGAGGCTGTGGCACTACATGTGAAGGCTGTGGCACTGTTTGTAGTGGTTGAGGCACTGTACATGGAGGCTGTGGCAGCGAGTGTGTAGGATGAAGCACTCCTTGTGGAGGAACAGGGGGTTCACCACTTGCCTGTTGACAGTAACAAGGTACAATGTAATCATTTTCTTAGGTGTCATGGCACATAATTTAGAGAGGGGACTGGCTCCCACTGTTATTAAAAGCCTCAGCCTCTCCTTTTTCAAGAGAAAATTGGCCAATTTTAATTGTGACTGCTGCTCCTGGATGTTCCTACTCCAGCTAAGTTGCATTCCTAAGACATAGACATAGACATACTTTATTTAACGTGGACAAGTACACACTTAGCTGTTCGCTAGTTTCCAGGTGTTCCATGATTTAAATTAAGTAATGTACAACATTATAGGAGCTTAAAAAAAAGGTATTTACATCAAGCTGAGAGATTGAGAGACAACAGACTAAGACCTTGTAGTTGTTTAGCTGCTCAACAGATACTTCAGGGTTTGTTTGCATGTTGATATTTCATTCTCAATTGCAGCCTCCAAATGCTCAGCAAATAGTCAGCCACAATCAGATACAAAACCACATTTACAGGTTTAACACAAGAGATGGGTTTATAGTGAAGGATTTGCCTCTGTTATTTTTAGTCAAAGCCAAAACATTTTGTGGCGTATGACTGTTTTACTAAATGTTTTTGTTGATATTTGTTAGGAGAGACAAGAATTGTACTGCCCTAAATGATTGATCTGAAAACCTAAAATTAGTCTGCAAGCAACTAGGCTCACCTTAAGGCTTAAGAATACCTAAATTTAATTATATAACAGTGAAGTCGTTCCTTGATCTCTGGAATGATCCCCCACATGCAACAGGGAGACCCTGAACTGGTTCCAAGTAATTTAGAATTTTTTAATTGTCTTCTAATTTCTGCAAGGTTGAACCAAATTGTAGCTATACTATTAAAAACCTCTCACATTCTGCACAACAAACTGTAGTAAGTAAAGCATAAGAAAAAATATGTTGAGCTGACTAATTTGATTGAAGTTGATATAACAGCCAATATTATAATGGTCAATTTTGTAAAAAATTATAGGCCCGTGACTTTCTTTGTGATTACTACTAGTCATATGACTTAATCACTTCTTTACAGTTTACAGTAATATATTAAAAATCTATTCTGAATTATGCAACAATATCATCCTATATGTACACATTGCAGACCTACTTTCTTCTTGTTGGCCTGGGCAAGGGAAGGGGGAGCTGAGGGTAAGAGGTAAATTTAGCCATTTTGCATGATAACTCAGTTTGGTTTCTCTAAATAACTGGTAAAAAAAATTATGCTGAAAAAAATCAACTGATAGAAGAAAATCAAACTTACCAACAAATCTTCTATTGTCCCATTCTGTTTTCGCTTTTTAGACTTGAGGAGAGATAGAGAAAAAAAGTTAAACTATACTTGTACAAACTACAAAGTAATGCAGGCTCAATGAGAATGACAGTCCTTTTATCAACTATCATTCAAGTTTAGGAAATGGAGGACGAAAGTACAGTGAACTGTGAAAAATCACTCAACGTGCAAACAGAAACTCCCATGAATTTTGTGCAGCTTCACATTTGATTAGATAGGGCATCACTTGCCAAGAGATGCTTAAGTCAGTATAAGAGCATTCAAGAGTTTTAGACCATTATAGATAAAGGCTAAAAGTTTGAGTTCTGGGCTCTTTCATTCTCCTTTGGTTCAGTCGCTGGGGGTGCTACTAAACTGAACTCGAGAAGAACTGTGCCGTAAGTCAACAAGTTAACCCTCTCTCCCACCTAGCCCCGAAAATTTCAACAGACGTTTATCACTGTATATCTTTTTTAAAACATCTTGCAGCATTTTTGGCATGCCCATAGGATGCATGAAAATACAAATCAATTTCAGCTAGTTTGCAAAACTAGATTTTTAAAACTCTGTTATTTTAAAAATGTGTTCCACTGTATTTGTACTCTATGAAACTGTAAGTTGGATAACAATAGAATTGTGATAATGTAAGCTCCCAAATAACTGAGACAACTTTGGCAGCCCTGCAAAGTGTTTTCAATTTATTTTTTGCTATAATTTCTTTCTATATTTACACAGATGCAAATGTCGACAGGTTGGGAGAAAGAAGGGAGGATGCCCAATATATTAACTATTTTTTACAAATGGTTTATTCGCTAGCCATACAGCAACGCATACAAAAACAAACGCTTCCTTGCTTGATAAGAACACTGACAGCGGTAAGAGGATGTTCGCTGAGCAAAGATTTATTAGGCGAGAAGAAAAACAATGTGCGCGCCATTTTAAAAACAAGTGAAGCGTTCGCCAAGGAAATTTTTCCGCAGGTTTTCTTCCACTGCTGTGTCTAGGATCAGTTTATCTGTCGTTCATTTGAAGAACAGCTTTGAAAACTACTTTGTATGAAAAAAAAAACCGAGTCAAGGAACCGCGAAAGTTTGAAGCGCGTCCAGGTCCAGGCTTTTTACCGCGACCTGGTCGCAGCCATTGTTGTAAACAAGTTCAAATGCAAGCTTATGCCTTTTTACCTTTCTGATAACTTTCGTTGGCGTTCTTTTCTTTCCGCGTCCACGTCTTTTAACTGTTTTCTCCTAATAAAATAACAACAAAGCAGTTGATATCAAAGTCATGGAACAAAATGAACTTGATTACGCACCAAACCTGAGCTCGAAGAGCGAAGTCCTTCCAAACATGTAGACAGTTCCAAGCTGACGATGATCGAATTATCTTATTTATAAAGCAAAGTAAGACTGGAAAAGCTTTTCTTGTTTTCCTGAAGCAATAACTCTTACCGTTATTTCAGATAGTACCGCTTGATTGTCGCCTTTGTCAGACATTCTGATTCAACTGTATTAATAAATTCGAATGATGACTTCTTGCAAGTTGACGGACGCGGTCGTTTTGCCAACCTCAAAGGTCGGACGCTCTTGACCACCAGTGGCCAATCATATTCTTACATCTTTCCCACACGCCACGAACACGCCACGCTCTTGGCAGATTCACGCGTGACGGGCCGGGCTGCGTGACGGAGAATGTGAGGCAGTAGAGTCCGGCAATTTTTCTCACGTCGTTGAACGCGCAAAAAGAACCGTATTTTTTTT